TCGTGAGTGCCCAATGCCCTAAGTAACCAAGTTTGGTAACAATCACCTCTTCCTGCCTAAAGCAGCACCTCTGGGAATTATCCACCCTTTCAAGGATGGTTGCAAAATCTTTTCATGCCTTACAAGGTATTAAGGTTAATTTTTTGGAGAGAACTACGTGAATGAAAGGCTGCACATTTCACCCCAAGTTAAATCTATTTCCACAGAAATAAATGTAATGTTTCAGAATGTAGCTTCACTGCCTGTGGAGAGTAACTTGCTGTTGTTTATCTCACTGAGTGTTGTCATTGCCATGTAAATCTCCCACTCAGAAAACTGTCAGGGGCCCCACACTCTAGCCAATGACAAGAACCAAGCTTCTTAGTCTAGCACTACATGGTCCTAACCCCCTTTCCAGCTCCAGCTCCCTCGACTCCACAACACTTAACCCACCCAGGCCACTCACTGTTTCCTGACCTCACTCTTTACTTGTTCTCCATGATATCTGGGCTCTGTTGACCTAAAAAAACCTCCCACCTATCTCTGCCTGTACAGCTCTACTTATTTTGAATGACCCACCTTGAAGGCTCTTTCTTGAAACCAGTACAAATCCTATCGCAGACTCCTTGTTTTTCTTATGTAGCATTTATTTACCATATTTGCTTTGTTTTGTAATTTTTGTTGTTGTTGTTCATTCATCTGTCCATCCACCCACCAACCCACCCACTCACCCATCCATCCATTCAACAAATACATATTAAAAGCTAATATGTCTTCATGGGGCTTTTGGTCTAGCCAGGAAGACAGACTGTATAAAAAAGCTCTGATAATGATATGTGGTAAGTCTTGATAGAGGAAGTACAGTGCATGCAGGGATCACCTAAACCAGATTTGTGTAGACCTGTGTTGGGGAGGCGGGTTGAGTCCAGAAAGGCTTTCCTTTGCATACTTTTATTTTATCTCATATGAGATTGGAGGCTCACTGAAGTCAGAGACTTTGCAGAATAGGTAGCTGGTTGTATGGAGTCCTGAGTGGTACAAATGGTTAATGAGCTTGGAAAGATTGAAGTTTAGAGTCCACCCAGAGGCACCTTGGAAAAAAATCCTGTGATCTACTTCAAAAAATCAGCCATTGAAAACCCTATGGAGCACCATTCAACTCTGACACACACGGGATCACCATAAGTTGGAATTGACTCAACGGCTACTGATTAATTAGTTGTATGGAGTTAATCATCGAGGTTTTCATCTGCGTAACACTATCTTACCTGACACAACTTTGGGCTAAGTTCATTCCTTCTAGGGCTCTTCTGGGGCTTCTTTACATGTAGAAAAGCTATTGAGGAGATTGTAAAGCTTAAACGCTTTTCCTTCTCTAGCACAGACACTCTGCCAGGCAGGGATTTTTCTAGAGTCTTTGGTGGACGTAATTTATGTGGTAAGGTATGATGTGTTTATTATTGCTTGGGCTGAAAGGCTCATGAGTTGAAGAGTAGACCTTTTTGGATATGTAACCTTTGTGGCTACAAATAAATGAAGTTAATCTTTAAAATCCACGGGTGTCATGATTGCCTTAGGAAAAGCGTAATGAATACACCTAAGCCCTTTAGTCATTACTTGTTGCCTTAAACAATCAAGAAAAATGCAGTCATATTTTGGCCATTTGTTAGAAACTGCTTGAGTAGTTTGTGTTGACTGAGCCTACCCCAATGGTGCTTCTGGGTAAGGCTAGACCTATGGCTCCAAAACAGATCAGACAAATGAGCACCTTGGAAAAGTCATCTCTAATAATAAAGCGGTAAAACACTCATTTCGTGCAGTAAGGTAAAGTGTACCTTGGACTATACAAGTTAATTTACGAACGTGTTAACTTATGTTTTATTCTCACTGTATTTTTTCCCCTTTACTGGTCTAAGAAGGTAACCATGATTTCATGTTCTCCTGTTGCAGGAGAGAGGGCAGAGAACAACATTCCCTCCAGGCTTTGGGAGTTAGACTTTCCAAATCCCCTTGTTTGAGCGATTGGACTACGTCCGAAACAAAACAAAAACAAACCCATTGCCATTGAGTCGATTCTGACTCATGGAGACCCCATGTGTTAAGTAGAGTAGAACTGTGCTTTAATGGGTTTTCCTGGCTATAATTTTTACAGAAGCGGATCACCAGGCCTCTTTTTTTTGGCACCGCTGGGTGGGTTTGAACCACCAACCTTTTGGTTAGTAGTTGAGCACAAACCATTTGCGCTACCCAGGGACCTCTAGACTAGGTCAACCAGAGTTTAACTGAGGTTATGTCCCTGGCCAATCCTGTTTTGGCCTTCTGATATCAGTTTAGAGTGTGTCACTTCCTCCAGGAAGACCTCTCAGATACACAGCTTCTTCTCTTTGCTCTTAGAGTACCTTTAGCTTCCCCTATCCTAGCACACACATACTACGTTATATTTGCCTGTTGATTTGTCTTTCTTCCTTTTCTAGATGTGAGCTCTGTGAGAGAAAAGAGAGAGTCTCAGTCGCTGTTGTATACCAGTGCCTAATACAGTGCCTGATACTTGGCAGCACCCAATGTTTTTGTTGTTGTTAGGTGGTGTTGAATCGGTTTCAACTCAAAGAAATCCCGTACACAACAGAAAGAAGCACTGCCCAGCCCTGCACCATCCTCACAATTATTGCTATGTTTGAGTTCATTGTTGCAGCCACTGTGTCAATCCATCTTCTTGAGGGTCTTCCTCTCTTTCGCTGACCTTCTGCTTTACTAAGCATGATGTCCTTCTCCAGGGACTGGTCCCTCCTGACATATCCAAAGTATGTGAGATGAAATCTCACCAACCTTGCTTCTAAGGAGCATTCTGGCTATACTTCTTCCAAGACAGATTTGTTCATTCTTCTGGCAGTCCATGGTATATTCAACATTCTTCGCCCACACCGTAATTCAAAGGTTTCAATTCTTCTTCAGTCTTCCTTATTCATTGTCCAGCTTTCACATGCATATGAGGTGACTGAAAATATCATGGACTGTGTCAGGTGAACCTTAGTCCTCAAAGTGATATCTATCCTTTATAACACTTTAAAGAGGTCTTTTGCAGCAGATATGCCCAATTCAATGCATCGTTTGATTTCTTGACCGCTGTTTCCATGGGCATTGATTGTGGATCCACCTAAAATGAAATCCTTCACAAATTCAATATTTTCTCCATTTATCATGATGCAGTACCCAATAAATATTGTCAAATGAATATGATGTGCTTCCGTTGCCATCAGTCACCTGCCCCAGCAGCTGACAACATTGAATAGAAAAAAATAAAAATTTTTTTGGCCTCAAGCTATAGACTGTGATTTGGAAATACTCCCGAGGTCAAGAATCAGATATTGCCATGGTTTGGGAATATCCAGTTCCTTCACTGTATCTTTTTTTCCTCATTTAATGATTGTGCCAGAGTTTCTAATTAGAGAAAAGGCTTCATGCATTTATTGATTCAAATGTGCTGCAGCACTAGGGAGATGCGGAGGATAAGGTTAGAATTTAGCATATCAGAAACTCAATCCATTTGAGATCTCACAAAGAGGTTTGCCCTTGGGTCATTTAGCACAGACTTTCATAGTCATTGAAAACTGTTGTCATGGTAATCATGGAACCTTTCATGTTTTTTGTTATGAGTTAATGAAGACACCAGAAACAGCCCAAAGGAATTCATACTTGTTCGTGCATTTGTCTCCATATTAACTCAATCATTGTTTTGAACACACATCTGCTCCAGGTCCAGTCCTCTTGGTGCTTGGTCCTGACAGGAATAAATAAACATCTGATTCCTTTTTAGTATTTCAGGCTAGGAGGCTGTGGATGGCTGCCCTTTTGGTTTCATTTCAACAGGAAATCCCACAAGTAGGGTTTAAAGGAACAGAAGAAAAAAGAGTGGTATATGAAGCAAATCTCTTTTATTTCAAATTGTTAATATTGCTGATTTCAAGACACTTAAATTTAATGCCTATAAAGAAAGTTGCATTTGTGAAGAGCACAGAATACTTGCTATATCTAAAGTCTGTCTTTTATGGTCCTTTGTAAATAACACCTTAACTCAGTCATCCATCAAGCCTAAAAATCTGTATCCAGATATCCCAGGGTGCTCATAACATTTGGTGTGAGATTTCCCATCTATGTCCTACTATGTCCGTCTGTGTCTCCCAATTCCTATTCTTCCCTTCTTCCTTAGTAATAGGACCCCTTACTTTTAATTAGGCACGTGGCTACTTGAAATCAAGACATTTCCCAATCTCCCTCATTATTGGCATAAGTGGTGTTTTCAACTTTTTGAAGTATCTTTAAAGGGAGCCAGTATGTGACCTTCTTTATCCCTTCCTGGAATGAAGGGATGTGGACATAATAGATGGAGCTGGGGCAGCCATTTTAGACCATGAATTGGGAGCCATGTTGAGAATGGCAGAATTATAAGACAGAAGGAGTCTGGGTCCCTGAAGATTGTGCAGCTTCCATAAAAGCCCAGCCTGACAATATTTAGGGAAGAGAGAAATAAACTTATATCTTGTTTAAGTGACTGTTATTTTGGATTTTCTGTCATCCAGTCTTAACTGGAGCACCACCCAAAAATGAAATTTATTCTTCTACTGACTGGATATGAAAATCTCATGTGCTTTTCTGGTGAGGCTTGCTGGATCTTTGTATGAGCCAGACTGAATTTTCTAGTATGAGGAATGGAAACTGTTTCAGTGGTAGGAAAATGCTCCTTCAGGTCAGCCACAGGCACATAGTGTCACTGGTCTTTGTATGTGCATTTTGTGTTTTTCCAGCACCATGGAGTCATATACCTTTTGCTCTAATCTCAGACTCCTTCTTTATGGAATGAGGTTGGTAATTAATAAAATTCATCAATAATTAGTTTGAATGCAAAGTAATTGAAATACAGACAAAAAAAAAAAAAAAACTTACAAATTATCTACAACGAGCGTATTGACCCTCCATATTGGAGACGCAAGCCTGTGCTAGTGAGCAGTTGAAATTTTACTTACTGATCTTGGGCCTTTTAATCTTCTTTGTAATTTCTTTATTTGAATGTATTCCAGTCACCAGAAAAACTACATGAAGAAAATACAAAAAAATCTTATCAATATTATTTCACCTGAACACTTTCTCTTTTTTGACCATTGTATTTGTTTCAATCACACATTAAAGCGTTCTAATTGAAATAATTTTTCCTTATATTAAGGCTGGGGAAATAAGACGTATAGTTTGTATACATTTGTTAACCTCTGCTGAAAGTTCCTTTCCAAACTACCTCTTGGACACCTACCCTTTGTTTTGCTGTTTTTGAATTTCACCGTACCAACCCTACAGTCTCTATTTTCCAAAGGAGAGACGTAGGCCTGGAGAAGTCTGCTAATCTGCCTGGTCCCAGGAATAAAGGATAGAGGTAGGTGAGCACACAGGCCCCTCCTGTGCTCATCCCACTGTTGCACAATGAGTTTCCAAATGGCCAATGTAGAGGATTGTGTGTGTGCAAGTGTATGAGTGCCGAAGTGTGTGTGTGCCAAGTGTGACCGAGGGAAGGCCAAATGGAGGGGAAATATAAAAAGCTCAGAAGAGAGGCTGTTTGGGAAGAGAAGGGAAGGAGACGGGATAGAGGGGAAGAAGGAGAAACTCATCACGGGATCTGAGGTATGAGTCTGAGGGCCCTGGTGTCCACTGTAGCAGCACTTTGTTCTGTGCTCCCTGAAGGCCAACTGCAAATAGCTGAACTCCCTCCTCAGAAACAGGAGCAGAACCTCAGATGACATTTAGACACTACTCTCCTCAGGAAGCATAAAGCTCGAGGAAGGAGGGGGAATTCTTCACCTTTTCAATTCAAAGTCACACGACCAGTTTACTTTCAAGCAGATAAGATGAAATTGAGTCCTGTGTTTTTGAAAAATATTGACTGATTTTTTCTTATTACTAAGATGATATATTTTCCTGTTAAGCCTTGGTTTAAAAAAAAAATGCTGACTTATTTTTCCTTGTTACCAAAGTAATACATGTTCCTTGTAGGAAATGTAAGAAACACAAAAGAGTACAGAAAATACGATAAACACAAGTAGAATATTTTCCAGTCTTTATCTATGTGTACACGAACTTACATGGGTAACTTTAAACAAACATTTGATCATACTCATACTGTTTACAATGTTTTATAATATATTTTTGCTTAAGGATATAGACCAACGTTTTTTTCTTGTCATTAAATGTTCTTTCCACAATCATTTTAACTGCCTGCCAAGTTTCGCATAATTTAGCCAATCTTGATGAATAGACTTCTTATTATAAATAGCTTCATCTTTGCACAGATCTATTATTATTTTCTTAAAATAAATTTCCAAATAAAGTTTCTTGTCTGAAAGCTATGCCCACTTAAAATTTTGATACATATTGTGAAAATATGTCATAGTAATTTTAAAACCAATTTATACTCCTATTATTATTGTACCAGAAGAGTCCCTGGGTGGCTCAAACTATTTGCACTCGGCCACAAACCAATTGACACAGTGGCTGCAACAGTGGGCTCAAGCATAACAACATTGTGAGGACGGTGCAGGAGCGGGCGGTGTTTCCTTCTGTTGTACACAGGGTCGCTGTGAGTCAGAACTGCCTTGATGACACCTCACAACAACAACCAACCGAAAAGTTGGTTGTTCAAACCCATCCAGCGGCTCTGCGTAAGACAGTCCTGATGATCTGCTTCTGTAGGGATTACAGCCAGGAAAACCCTATGGGGCTCAGTTCTGCTCTGTAACACAGGGGTCACCATGAGTCGGAATCCACTCTGTGACAATGGGTTTGGTTTTATTTACTTTTGGTAGTAATGTATGAAAATGTTCACTTCTCTGTAGCTATCCTGATTCTTCTTGTGGATAGAAAAGCGCTGTTTTTCCTTTCAAGAGACTAGCCAAGTCTCTATTCTTTCTTCCTCTCTGGGCCTTCTCCCACCTCACCCACCCAAAGGCAGTACCACTCTGCTTGATTCCATTTTAAGCACTTTTCTGAGAAACTCACTTTCTCGATGGGGTTGGTACTCTGTAGATGAGCATGGGGAAATAGAACAAGCAAAATAGACATTTTACCCCTTAGGTTGTGTGCTTGTTTTAAGAGAAAACAGATGCTCAATTTAGGTATGAATGGACTTATTATAAATAAAATTAAAATTTGCAGCTATTTTTGAAGGAAAAACTGGCAACGTCACCAAGTGTTAAGAAAACTTATTATTTATCTTATGATTATTGAGCTAATCTGTGCCAATGATGCGGCCCCTGAATTATCCTCAATTTTGACTATTAGCACTCATGGAGGTCTGGCCCGTTGACACCATGTCCTGCAAGACCAGAAACATGAAGGAGAACTGAGCGAGAACCAAAAGCCCGGCCAAGCAGAATGAAGGCAGATATTTTTTAGGCTTTATTTACTTCTGGGGCTTGGGTAGGTGTTAGCGTCCCGGAGGTGTAATTTTCCTAGTGGTTTCTGTGTCATCAAACTCTGTGCAAAGACCACCTATTTGCTGTATGCACAAAAATAAATATCTAGAATCCTAGCATATTTTTACAAGTACTAAATAAATATACAGAAAAAAATTAGGCAAGTTAAGTGACAGAGTAAGTAAAATAGAAATAAATTTTGATATCAATTCTTGTGGAAAATCAAATACTTCCCTTCTGTGCTGTGTTTCTGTGGCAAGTGGTTTGCAATTCTCAGCATTGTTATGTCAATAAATATTTCAGTTAGACCACCCCATCATTCACTTTCAGTTCCCCAAGCCCCTCCAGGCTGAAATCCTCATGGCTGATTCAGTTTAAAAATAGTGGTTAATAAAGTCTTTACTATCAGCAGTATATCCAAGCCTCAGTTTACACGCTTGCTAATTAGTACTCCACGGAAACCACTCCTCAAGCTGAAGGCTGGTCACTAAGGTCTGTAAATGTATTTAGGTCCAGGAGCAAGTCTTCATTCCTTGTCAGCAAGACCTCTCTAGCTACCTTAGAAATGGTGAATAGCATATTTAACTTGGGTGAGAGAAAACTCAGTCTTGTTCATTTTCCTAGGAAGCCCAGTGGAGTTCCTATGTGGTGCAAATGGTTAACACACTTGCTGCTAAAGAAAGGTTGGAGGTTGGAGTCCACCCAGAGGTGCCTCGGAAGAAAGTCCTGGCAATCAGCTTCCAAAAAATATCGGCCATTGAAAACTCTATGGATTACAGTTCTACTTTGACACACATGGAGTCACCACAAGTCAAAATCGACTCAACGGCAACTGGTTTTAGGAAGCCCAGCAGAGCACAGCTACTGGCTGGCCAGTGCTCACTTGAAAGTACAAAGGAAGGACAGGTCTGAAAGCCAGTCCCTTCTGCAGGAGTAGTCACCTTGTTACCGAGCCCATGAGTGTCTAGATGTCTCAAGGAAACTGAATCTAGAATCCAAAGTTCCAAGGCAATCATGATTTACCCACTTGGCAGTAAAGTTTCTCAGTCTTTTCAAATCCAATGTTCCAGTTTTGATTAACATAAAAAGTTTACACTGTTCTTCAGTAGGGCTTGAAATTTCAAAACATATTAAATGTAAAATTGCTTTCTCAAATAAAAAATTCCCGTTAGTTCTCTCTCTCTTCCTTTCCTCGGGGTTTCAATCAGTACAGTTAAGTTACTGAAGGTATAACTGTTTCTTACTTCAATTAAAAAAAATGGATCATACAGATAATTTATAGAGAAAATGCAAATAAATAAGCTTGAAATAATGTTCCATCTCATTAATGAGAAAAATTGCAAACTAAAGCAAAACAAGGGGATATTTTCCCACATCTCGTCAGTAAATACTGAAAACAAGATTACACTTAACCTTGGCAAGGATTTGGGGTTAGGCATTCCCAGACACTGATGGAGGAGGAGCCATTCTGGAAAGCACTTTGATACTACATGTTATGGATTGAATGACGTCCCCCCAAAACGTGTGTCAATTTGGCTAGGCCATTACTCCCAGTATTGTGTGGTTGTCCTCCATTCTGTGATTTGATGTGATTACCCTATGTTGTAAATCCTGACCTCTATGATGTTAATGAGGCAGGATTAGAGGCGGTTATGTTAATGAGGCAGGATTCAATCTACAGGATTAGGTTATATCTTGAGTCAATCTTTTTTGAGATATAAAAGAGAGAAGCGAGCAGACGTGAGGGGGACCTCTTGCCACCAAGAAAGAAGCACCAGGAATGGAGCACATGCTTTGGACCCAGGGTCCCTGCACCGAGAAGCTCCTAGACCAGACGAAGACTGATAACAAGGACCTTCCCCCAGAACAAACAGAGAGAGAGTCTTTCCTGGGAGCTGGTGCCCTGAATTCGGACTTCTAGCCTCTTAGACTGTGAGAGAATAAATTCATGTTTTTAAAGCTGTCCACTTGTGGTACTTCTGTTATCGTAGCACTAGATAATTAAGACACTATGCATCAAAAGTCTTAAACATATTTATATCCTTTGACCTAGAAAATACACCCTTAGGCACATGCCTCAAGAAAGGTCTGGCGATTGGCTTCAGTAAAGATTATAGCCAAGAAAGTACTGTGGAGCAGTTCTACTCTGTCAAACAAGGGGTCGCCATGAGTTGGAATTGACTCAAGCGCAAAGGGTTTGGTTTTTTTCTGGTTTATAGTCAGACAGGTAGACAGAGATTTATGTACAAAGATGCTGATCACAGCATTATTTCTAATGGCAATTTGAAAACAATGAAATACTGGAAATGTCCAGTAATAGGAAGATCCTAAGCATTTATTACAACTGATGTGTAGAACAATATCAAATGACCTGGTGAGTGCTCAGCTCTAACTTAAAAAATGACTCTGATAAAGTTAGAGTATATACAGGGAGAAATAACTGGAATAAATATGCAAAAATATGAATAACAGTGGAATTATAATTTCTTTGTTATATTTTTCTATATTTTCTCCATTTTATGCTTTATTTATATATATAGTCTATATTTTATATAGACTGTTTCTTTTATAATTATAAAAGACAACACAATTATTTTTTAATTTGTCATATTAAAATCATATAGACTTACAATACTGAAAAGTGATTTCTAAAAACAGTGGCATGGTTAATCTGTGCTCACGTTTCCGGCTTTTCTTGTCAGTAATAATTTACAATCAGAATCTATCTACTTTCAAGAAAAGATATGAAATACCAGTACACCTAATCAATGCTTAAATCAGTAAGTATTTACTGAATACTTTTAAAGAAACACTTCATTCTTAGCCTATAAACTTCTTTTTAGATCTTTTTAGAAACCCCAACATGCTAATGCCTGTAGTATCTACAATGCCTTCCAGAAGTCCGATGTATAAGGTAGATCATCATAAACAGCGGTTCAAACTTCCTCAATGCTTAATTTGGGATTATGTACTCAGTGAACCATTTAGCACCAAATAAAGTAGAGTTCATAGCAATGATATAACAACTTATTCTCTACAATCATGTAAACCATGAAAAGGCGTCCCTTTATTTTATAGAAAGGAAACCAAGGTCAACATCTCCGTTAAAGCTGCGCAGTTATTTATGGATAGAAGTTGGAACTAGAATCCAAGTTTGCTGACTATGGTCTTTGCCTCTTTATTCTGCTTGCTCCCCAAAGGGCCACATTTATTATATGTGTTCTCCAGTGACCATGGGTAACATAAAACCGTGCTATACCATAAACTTCAATGTATCTAAACCTAATAGCTCTGATATATATTAATTGAACATTTAATTGGTGTTAATTTGAGGGACTTTGGGGATCATTTGGATGTCCTGTATACTTGAAAAATCCAGCATTTTGTCCCTAGGAACAATCCTATATGCTCATTATTTATCGAGTGCCAACGAGATGTGCTGAACACTGGAGGTATAGCAGTGAGCATGGCACACTCCTGCCCTCCATGTGTTTACAGTCTTTGGGGGAGCCAGACCAGTGAGAAGGTGAAAACAATGTGCCAAGGAAGCACAGAGGAAGACAATTGGATCTAAACTGGGGGGGCAGGGGGAAGGGGCAGCTTCCTGGAGAATCAATAGGATTTGCCAGGCCAGGGAGGTGTGGGCGTGTGGGGTGTGGGAGAGAAAAGTGTTCTGGGAGAATGAACAGCATGCTCAGAGGCCTTGAGGTGAGAAATGACACAGCCTTCAGGGAAACTAGAAGTTAGGTGCCAGGGTGAGGGCTGCAGTGAGAGATGAGAATAGGAAAGGACAGGAGGAGCCATATCAGGAAGGCCTCCCAAGTAAGGCACTTTCAGAAACTTGGGATCCATCCTAAAGGCAAAGGGAAAACACCGAGGAGCTTAAATCAAGAGAGTGGTGATGTGTTGCGTGCTTCAGGGAGATTCATTGGGTGTGACGGAGATGAGTTAGAGGGTAAAGATTTGGGGCAGGGAGGCTGTCACAGTGCCTGGGGGTGGGGTGCTGGGGCACTTAATGGAGGAAATGACCCTTGAGATGGAGCCAAGTGGGCAGATTGGAGAGATGCTGAGAGGCAGGCATGTAAGGATTTAGACAGGGAATTTCTGAATAGGGGTCTCCTTCCTCTATTTTTATTTCTTGCTTTATGAATGAACAACCCTGAAAGGAAATGAGTTTTGTAGAGGGCAGACCGAAAGGGGCAGGGGGACAAGGAAGGACAGTCACATCTCCTTTCTTGGTTCTGTGGCGCTGGAGAGCATGGCAGAGTGTGAAATGGCCTCAGGGTTTGTTGCTTGATTCGTTTTGTTTGACACTAGCAGCATCCTTCCTATTCCTAACCCCCTGCCCTATGTTAGAAACCTACCAATGTACAAGTTAGTATGGGAAGGGAGATAACCTCTCAAAAGGGCAAGGTGGAGAGGAAGGGCTCGTTGCTTCCCAGGTGAATAGTCCCCAGTGTGCTAATGCAGGCCAGGCATACTGAAAATTGTAGATGTGGTGTCAGGGCCCCTGGACTTTAAACCTTGCCCAATTTTTAAGGACAACAGCAATGGTGGGGGAAGGGCTCCTAGCTCAGGTGTCCAGAAGCCCCTCAGGGCTTTGACCACCTGAGAGGGGCTAGGAGGAGATAGTGCCAGTGAGGAGGCCTGATTGATACTGCCCAGGGCATAGTGTACCCCAAGACATTCTTAGTGCCCTTATCTTTGGCTCCCTGGGTGGCACAAGCAGTAATGAGCTAAGCGGCTAACTGAAAGATTGAAAGTTGGAGTCTACCCACAGGCACCTTGGAAGAAAGGCCTGGTAATCTACTTTCAAACAATCAACCATTGAAAACCCTATAGAACACGGTTCTACTCTGCAACACATGAGGTTGCCATGAGTCAGAGTTGACTGGATGGCAACTGGTTTATGTTTGGCTACAGGAGAGGGTGACTTAGCTAAGACACAAGAAGATTGGACAGAGTTGCTCTAGATATCTGGCAGCCACATTAGACTTAGGGCTGGGTGGTTAACAGCTCACCCACATTAATTTACAGAAGAGGAAATGGAGGCCCTGAGAGGTGGAGAGACTTGCCAGAATCAACAAACTGATGGTGAAGTCAGGACTAGAACCTGTATCCCCTGTCTCTCAGTCCAGTGTTACTTCCACCATGCCCAGTACCTTCCTTGTCTTCTCAACTGTGTTATTTCTTTCTCTTCGGGTTCCCAATTCTGCCATGTAGCTCCAGACTCCCTCTGCACAGACCTTGAACATTTTGACTATCTGAAGGGCCTTTGCACCTTCCCCTGGTAATAGTTTCACAATGACCTACAGGATCACCCTACCCAACAAGGCCACAGCACTGTGGGGCCAGGATTAACAGAAGATTACCTCTGGGCTTAGTCCTAAACCCACAGGCACTTCTCTCTCCTCTAGTCCACCTGCTGCCCGCAAGGCCTATCCAAAACTGTATTCTCCTCTGGTGATAATGGATAAGTTTGAAGTGTTTCATCTCTAAAAGTGTGAGTTGCCAATGGTACAAGTAAGGCCATGTCTGTTAATGATAATATATTTTTTTTGGAAAATCAAATAAGAAACAAAAAGATCCCTAAATTTAGAATCTGCAAAACTGTTCCATGTAAAATATTTCTTAGTTGCTGAATCCACATACAGATATGTGTGTGTATATATGTGTGTGGGTGTAAAATATGTAATATATAGAGATCCACATACATAATACATATATTTGCTTTATATAAAAAATATATACCAAACCCAAAAAACCAAACCCACTGCCGTCAAGTTGATTCTGACTCATAGCAACCCTATAGGACCGAGTAGAACCGCCCTATAGGGTTTCCAAGGCCATAAATCTTTACGGAAGCAAACTGACAACATCTTTCTCCCACGGACTGGCTGGTGGGTTCGAACCACAAACCTTTTTGGTTAGCAGCCGAGCACTTAACTACTGTGCCACCATGCCTCCCTTATATATACATACACACACCCTGAATTTGATCTACATTTAACATTCTCACTTAAACTTCTCTCTAACATATCTATAGTAAAAAAAATACACTGTATTATTTATATGTTCTGTCTTGGTTTAAAACTTTTCTTGGCGTGCTTTTCGGCCCTTAGGAAAATGTTCAAAGAGTATCCAGCTACACATATAAAAGTACTTACTCAGGAACATTTCAATAACAGATGCCTTCATAGTGAGAACAACAATCCCCATAAATATCCGAATGGCACCCTGGAGAGGAAGAAACAAAAACATCATCATATTTCAGCCAGAGGTTTTGAATTGAACTGGGAGTGTGTGGGGATGGGCGGCACTGTTTTGCATTGTCCTCAGGAGTCTCCAGATTCCAAGCTGTGGCTTTCTATAAGCAGCTCATAGAGATGGCTGTGGCTGGCCTTGCTGGTTCCCAGACAATCCATTCTCAGTTAAAAATCCATTCTAGCCACCAGCCTCCTACTCTTCAGAGATTCAGCCTTTACTTAGAACTAAAGAGGAAATAACTCCACAACCTCAAGAGTATGTCCAACCAGTCTTCAAATTAGCACAAAACCTACTCTTCTGGTATTGAGAGAAGAACATTTTTAAATTACAAATAAACAAATCGTTCATCATCCATTCAATGAATATTTATTAAATGACTACTACATGGCTAGGTCCCTGGGTAGTACAAATGGTTTGCACTTGACTACTAACCTAAACGGTGGTTCAAACTCACCTAGCGGCACTGCAGAGGAAAGGCCTGATGATCTGCTTCCATAAAGATTGTTGTTGTAGTGTGCCATCGAGGTGATTCTGATTCATAGCAACCCCATGTGACAGAGGAGAACCGTCTCATAGGGTTTTCTAGGCTGTAATCTTTCTGGGAGCAGATTGCCAGTTTTTTTTCCTGCAGAGCCACTGGGTGGGTTTGAACTGCCAACCTTTCGGTTAGTGGCCAAACGTTTAACCGTTGTGCCACCAGGGCTCCTTTAAGTAAAGATTACAGCCAAGAAAACCCTATGGAGCATCTCTGCTCTGGAGCACATGGTATAGCCATGAGTTGGAATTGACTTGACAGCAATGGTTCTGGTTTGGTTTATCATAGGCTAATTATTAGGTAGTATATGATTAGAGACAAGGTGATAAAAATTGAAGAATAAAACAGATCTTGCTCTTAAAAGACCTACAGTTTAATAGAGGTGGGAAAACATACGTGGACACAAATAACCATACCATGAGAGCACTAAGGCCGATTACAGAATATAAGGGGAGTTTATAGAGCTGTGGTTCTCTAACTTTGCTGCATATTAGCATTGCCTGGGAGTTTTAAAAAGTCCTGTTGCCCAGGCTGCACCCCAGTCCAACTGAGTCAGAATCTATTCAGGTGGGGCCTAAGCATTAAGATTTTAAAAAATTCCCTGGGTAATTCCAATGTGCAGCCAAGTTTGGGAACCAGTGGTTTAGAGCAGGACTGCTTAAATCTTAATGTGCACATGAATCCCCTGGGGATCTTGTTAAACCACAGACTCTGATCCTGGAGGTCTAGGGTGGTACTGGAGATTCCCCAAAGGGCCTAGAATTTTGGGAGAAGGAAAGATGTTGTCAGCGAGGGAGTAAGAGTTGGTAGCAATTTGGTTCAACCTTGAAGGATGAAAAGAGTTTGAAGCTGCAGAAATTGGGGAGAAGTGGCTCCAGGTGAGACGAACAGCATGAACAAAGTCCTGCTGGCTAGAAAGAACAACAGATATGAAGGTACTTTTGCTGTGTAGGTTTTCTTTTCTCGTACTCCTCTGTCTTAGTCATCTAGTGCTGCTATAACAGAAACACCACAAGTGGATGGCTTTAACAAAGACAAGAATATTGTCTCATAGTCCAGTAGCCTACAAGTCCAAATTCATGGCATCAGCTCCAAGGGAACGCTTTATCTGTCGGCTCCTCTGGAAGAAGGTCCGTGTGGTCAATCTTCCCTTGGTCTGGGAGCTTCTCTGCTCAGGAACCTCAGGACCAAAGGACGTGCTCTGCTCCCGGCACTGCTTTCTTGGTGGTATGAGGTTCCCATGTGTCTCTGCTCACTTCTCTCTTTTATATCTCAAAAGAGACTGGCTTAAGACACTGTTTAATCTTGTAGACCTCATCAGTATAACTGCCGCTAATCCATCTTATTACATTATAGTAATAGAGTTTACAGCACATAAAGAAATCACATCAGATTACAAAATGGTACACAATCATACAATACTGGGAATCGTGACCCAGCCAAGTTGACACAGATATTTTTGGGGGACATAATTCAATCCATGACACCCTCTCTTAAGGCTATGAGGAAAACCTCAAAGGTTTACTCATACTTACTACCATTCATGAGCATATACCCTGCACTTTATATTGTCTCCAATCTTCACAATAAACCAGCATGGTAGGTTTTATGATTCTCATTGGACAGATGAGGAAACTGAAGCTTAAGAGGTTAAATGTCACACTCATGGTTACCAGCCAGTGAGTAGCATAGAATGGAGGTGGGAGTGGGTGGGAGGGGTCTTCCCTGGGCGCAGGCAACAGGGAGAAGAACATTGTACAGAATAAGGCAGAAGAACACTGTCTGTAGATAATTTAAAGACCTAAAAGTTGATCTCCTCTTATTATTACTATGAACTGGAAATTCTAAACAATGTCAGTGATAAAGCACTCCTCCCCTTTTGGGAAGATGGCACCCGCTGCTACCCCTCTTCCTCAATGCCACTGCTGTGTGGCCTAAAGCTGGCATTCATAACACTATGCACTGCTATGCCAGTGGTGTCTGGTCAACCTGCTCTGTGAACAACCAACCAACCCTCCCTCTAATTTATATCATTTGCCAATTTCTGTGGTGTAAATACTCCAAAATGACATCATTGAATGGAGATTTGGAAAGGGAGGAACACAATTCATTCTCCCAAGCTGGTACTAGGTAAGTCCAATGCAAGCCTACATCCAATATTCAGATACATTTTTGGAGCAGAGTTTATTAACAAAAAGGAATTATTAGATTATGGTTAAGGTAATAATGTAAGTAACTGGTGTTATTAACTTAAATAAAACTGTTTAGCATATGAAACGTTTGTTGTAAACAAATAGAACTGGTCATAAACTCCTGCAACAATTGCAATATGTTAAATTTCCCAATTAACAAATTAGGGTGGTTGACTATGTGGTTACATAAAAGCCAAATAATGGTCTTTTGTCTCAAAATAGAAATAAAATCATACATACAATCTACTTCAGCAATTTGACACCTAAATAGCTAGGTTATATTTTGGAAATAGTGTGATAATAAGTCATGTTTGTTTGTTATTTTGGTCTTTTATTAATTTGAGAAGCTCCAGAACAATTTACAGGTTTTCAGGCCTAAATATTTACCTTTCCTATGGAATAAATGTCATATGCCAAGCTGCATTACTGGACCCACCTACCCAGCCCCACTAATTGGTAGTTACCTTTCAGCATTGTGGATTTTATCTATGAGTTATCTCTGACTTCTTGCTCTCAAACCCCATATCTAATCTATCAGTCAAGTCTGTTGGCTCTTCAGCCATAATGTACCCAGAATCTGACTATTCTTCACCCTTTACATCATTGCTATCTACTTGGACTTTGCTACCAGCATCTCACTTGGCTTACTGCAATTAGCCTCCTAACTAGGCGGTCTCCTTCCCTTGCCTTGTACAGTCCACACAGCAGCCAGAAGGTTTCTGCAAAAGGTAAGCTAGCTCATATCATTCCTCTGTTCCAAACTCTACAATGGCTCCCAACCTTACTCAGAATAAAAGCCAAAGTCTGCATACAAGTGCCTCCATGCCACCATTGGCCTCTCTGACGTCATTTTCTATGATTGTCCGCCTCATTCATTGAGGTCCAGTCACACTGGCCCCTTACTGTTTCTGGAGCACTCCTTTCACCTCAGGACTTTTGCACTTACTGTTTCTTCTGCCCCGATTCCCTTCTCCCTGATAAGCGCATGGCTTGTCTCTCATTTCTTTCAAGACTTTGCTTAAATGTCACCTTCTCATGAGACTTTCCCTAACCACTCAATTTAAAATGACAAGTCCCCCTCCCACCCACCACTAACGGGCCCACCCTATCCTTCTCCTACTCTATTTTTCTCCACACCGCTTATTACCTCTGAAACTTTTATTGTTCATTTGTTTTATTTGGTTATTGTTTGTATCCCCTATTTGAATGCAAGTTCCATGATGGTAGGGATATTTAATTAGATTTTTTTTTTTTTTTTTTACTGCTATACGTAGTACATCATAGGTGCTCAATAAATATGTGTTGAATCAATGAATGAGTGATTAGGGCTATCCTTCCCTAAGAAACAAATAAAGGAAACCAAACAAAGGAAAGACAGCCTTGTGAATATACTAAAACCCATGGAATTGTATGCTATTTGAATTATATCCCAATAAAAAAATTAATGAAGCATTATTGATAGTAAACAAATAAACAAGGAAAGATGAAGAGCAGAGGAAATTCTCTCAGGTCTGTCCAACAGTGTTAGAAGTCAGGATGGGACATGATGTTTTATATGCTAGGATGGATGGATGAAAATCAATAGGATTCTGGGAAAAGCTCTAGCCTCGGAGAAGTGATCACCCGCGTGCTGACTCATTAGAAATGGAAGCCTACCAGCACCACTCTTGGAATCAGAAAGTTTTGTGGCTTCTTTCTCAGCACTACTATTTCTCTCCTTGCTTGGTCCATTTACAAATACGTTTTAAAAATGTAAATGTGCCTTTTGAAATGTGTGGGGAGAAAGTTAAAACCCTCTCGCAACCATTCCTGACCCCTGGGGACAAAGACAATGGCTATTGTGCAGTTGTTGCAGGTGGACCAAAGTCATGGAGCTGTGGGGTGCACAGAAATGTCAAAGTCTTAATTCCTTACGTGCTTACCAGGGTTCTAACAAAAACAGAACTATAGGGGTTTCCAAAAGGATGTGTTTCTGATTCATGAGTTTATAGCTGCTGCACTGAGAGGTAACAGGAAGAGTCCTGAATATGAAGTTCTAATGAGGTAATAAACAAAACCTAGTTGTGAAAGAAAAAGACACATTGGTGTAAGTGGAGGAGGCAATCAATGTAATTAGATCTCTTGTTGCCCAGAGTCAGAAGAGAGTAGCTTGGTAATAAATAATCATATCCCCTAATATTTAGATAATTCTTCACCGTTAAAAAAAGTAATCTAATATACATTCCTAGAATGCGAGCTCCATG